GGGCTGTGCAGGGCACGAGGGGATGGCGTATCAAATCGTTCACTAGGGCTCACCACTGCTTGTTTGGGCTGTGCAGGGCACGAGGGGATGGCATATTGAGCACCTAGAGCTCATTCGTTTCTGGTGAGACTACTCTCACTATGCTGGATAGAAATTAAACCTGTCAGCTCACTTGCTGTTTGCAAATCTATGTGCTCAGTCAAGCTGGGAGCCCCATCAGGTGTTGGGGCTGGAGTGTGCAATGAGCAGGGACATTCACAATCAGGTGATCAGAGAGCAGGCCCTGAGTGATCACTCCATCCTCCTTTTTTTCTCCTCTTCCACAGGAGAACAGTGAGACGCAGGCATTGGTGGAGGAAAGTGAAGACGATCTGCAAAGAGATATTCAGATAGGCAGGCATCAGGTAAGATACAATGTTCTTGCTTTTTCTTCAGATGGGGAAGAGATAACTGAGTATCCCTCAGTAATAAACACACACAACAGGACAGGAGACACAGTGAGAGAGAGAGGAGATCACAGTAATACACACACACAACAGGACAGGAGACACAGTGAGAGAGAGAGGAGATCACAGAGAATCCCTCAGTAATAAACACACACAACAGGACAGGAGACACAGTGAGAGAGAGAGAGGAGATCACAGAGAATCCCTCAGTGATAAACACAGGAGCCTATTGTGATCAAAGTAAAGTGTGGCCAAAGACAGTGTAACTGTGCCAAGGCCCAGAGTTATGATAGGAAGCAAGATAAGCTCTTTAACAGAAACCGAGATTGTCATTTTAAAATTTGCATAACCAGTACAGTGTGTGCTGCTGCATGTCTGAGATAGTTCTGCGTTGCCAGAAGACACAGCAGGCAGTAGATGCCATTGTGACAGATACACCTGGTTACACCTGGTTTCAAAAGCAGGTGAAAGGTAAAAGATGTGCCCCAGAGGTCAGCATGAGACAGCATTAACCCTCTCCTTCTTTCTCCCTGTGCAATTCCACTTCCTGTCCCAATTCCCCCCGTCCGTCTCCTCCTCCTCCTTCCTGCTGTTTCCTGTTCCTTGCGCTCTCAGCTCCCGGGCACCAGGCAGCGCGGCAACTGGAAGGTTTCCCGCAAGACCCACAGGGACCCCGGATACAAGGCACAACCGGTAACGTTGGCAGGTTCCTGTCCGACTCAGACTGTCACGGTTGTCACTTTATTGGCCCTGTACAGTTTCTTGTATCAGGAATCTGTCTTTTCTCAGACCCCAGCTTGCTCTGAGACACACAGACAGGGAGAGAGAAGCTGGGGGTCAGAGCGCAGGTTCAGCCACTATACTGCACCCCTGGAGTAGTTGGGGTTAAGGGCCTTGCTCAGGGGCCCAAAGGAGTAGGATTCCTCTGCCGGCCGTGGGATTTGAACCGGCAACCTTCCAGCCACAGGCGCAGATCCTGAGCCACAGAGCCGCCGCTCCATTCCTCCTCTAGAGGGCGCTCCGACCTTTTATTATAAGTTTCATTATTACGTGCACCTGTCTCCTGTTTAACCCGTCACTACATAAGTTATGTGCCTCCTAAGCTCTGGGCTCAGCTTTGGGAGATGGATGCCCGGAAGCCCGCCTACCAGCGGGTCCAGGAGAGACCCGACGGCACATGCTTCCTCACGGTGTCCTGACCAACTGAGTCCGGAGCTCGGAGCGCCTGGCCTCGTCGTCGTCGTGTTTTTAACCTCCCTGTTCCTGTTCTGGTACCGACCCGGTTCCTGTTTTTAACTGTTTGTCTTGGATTGACCTCCCGGCTCCCTGGACTTTGGACCGCGCCCTGTTTATTCCCTTTTGGACTCGCCTGCGTTCCCCCTCGCACCTGGATCGCTTCTGGCACCCTGTCCCCTGTCAGTCCTCCCATCCACTCCTCTCCGTGTTTTCCCTATTGCCCTTCTCCAGTCTCCTCCGGATTATACTGTCTGCACAGGGTCCTAAATCCGCACTACACAGGAGTCAGGAGCAGCTCCCGTGACGAGAACGAGAGTCTTTGACATTGTGACATTCCTGTCGCTCAGTGCTGCCGTAAATCATCGCCATCGGGATTTCACTCAGGAACAAGTACAGGTTTACTCCCCGCTGCATTCCGGCAGCGTTCCGGCTGTGGAGCCTTCTTCGGGTGTGAGAGAGACAGGGGAGTCGGCAGAGATTATACAGCAGGGGAGGACAGAAGCCGGGTGCGAAGTCGAGAGAGGGGTGAGGAGAGGGGTGAAGGGGAAACCTGCAATTGCGTCCTCAAAGAAGGGTTTCTCAACTTCTATAGCAGAAAGAGACATCTGAGACCAAAATGATCCTGACAAGAGGATCACGCCTCCCCCCTGCTCTCAACGACAGACTCGTTTCCTTATCAACCTCGGTATTCGTCTGCCGGTTTTGACTTCGCACCTCTCTCCCGGGGTCTGGGCTGGAAAAAAAGAGCAGAGCAGGGTGAAACCAAGTGCAAAGTGCAGCTCTCAAACGAGCTACACCACAGACTAGGACTGAGGGATGAATCTAGCGAGCGAGCCAGCCTCTCCCTGCTCCCTGCCCGAGTGCCCACCTCCCGGTCACTGCCCACTCCGCCGACACAGAATCTGGAGTGGTCGTTACGTGGAGTGGAGAGTGATGGGCTGGAGGCAACATTACAGGCTTGTACAGCCCTCTTTTATTTCAGTGCAGGCTGGACGCGTAGCAGGAATTCTCACTGTTTAACTGATTGTTATGAGTTTCTGATTGCTGTTTCTTTTAGTTGATCAATGTTATTCTATTTAACTTAAAGCCAACGCGTTAGTACTTTCCGTATCATGTAAGAGAGGATTACTTATGGACTTATCCATACCTGTACATACTGCGCACTGCAGTACGTTAGGCTACTGTATGAGGCTGGACTTTGTTATAAGCAGATTTAACGATTAGCAACCGTTCTCTGCACCGAACTCTCGCCAATGTCGAGACCCTCCTGTACTTCACTGAGATTGCTCCAAAGAAATGCCCAGATGTATAAAGAGGTACAAGTGTAAAAGCCTATGCCAATTACATTAATAATCTACATCCGGCTGAGTAGATTGTTAAAGTAGTTCAGGTGGGGAGCTGCGTCAGCGTGCGTAGTCTGCAAAGGAACAAGGAATAGGTTTATTCCCTGCTGAAAAGAGAAGACAGAAAACACAATGTTTTGGCTGTGTAGTTTGCCCGTGGCTCAGGTAATTAACTGGGATCAAATGGAATCAGGAAGTATTGATCCGTTGTACTGGAATGGATCGGGATGGATTGTCTTTTCTTGTTCTATGATGGGTTGAATCCTGTCATTAAACAGCACAGCGTTGGGTACTTGGTCTTAAGGTGTGTGGTATTGCATTGTTTTTGTGCAAATGTTGTACAGGCCTCCGTTTTACTGGTTTGCTCTGTCTTTCTCTGCAGGACATTGAAAAAGCAGGGACACCCTCAACCCCTTCACAGGAGGACGAGAGTTTCCCAGACGCGATACAGGTCAGGACATCCTGCCACACCCCAGTCAAACCCCTGGGATCTTCTCACTGAATTCATTTTTTTTGCGGGGGGTGAAAAGTAAATGGCTCAAGTGAGGCTCGTGCATTTCCACCACCCGCTGAAACGTTAAACATACAGTCGACAAGTCTGCTGCTGCTCCCCGAGTGCAGTGTCAAAGTGCCATAGCTTTCAGTCCATGGGTCCCTCTATGAACCCCCCCCTTCCTCCCCCTGTCTTTCTCAGAATGGGGGGCTCAGTGGGACGCTGAATCCTCCGTTCGGCACTGGAGCCAGGTTAGACCCTATCTCAGCTGGAACAGGAGAAAGAGACAATGAAAGAGCAGCACCGGGGATATCTGAGAAGACGACACGAGAGAGCTCCACCGTGAGCTCCAGTGCGAATCTCTGTCACGTCGGTCGGGTCAGTGTGACTTCTGGCTCCAAATTTCTGTCTTGTGCATCTTATCATGTGGCAGCAGTTAAGCGGCCTTTTGTAAATACTGCATGTTTCAGCCCCTTGCCTCCTCTCTCTGGCAGAATGGTGGTAGTGGTGGGATATCGAGGAATCCACTCCACCCTGCTCCCTAGCTAACCTTTGTGCTTTGATGATCTGGTTGCTGGGACTCAATTTTCATTTTGATGAGGGGAGTGAGGTGGAGTGCTGGGATTTGGAAGACATTTGTGCTTTTCTCTTCTGCTGTCTGACTGGGGCTTTCGCCTGTGTTTCAGAAGGAGAAGGACCAACCAGAAGCCCTGGTGAACCCCTATGGCTCAGAGGTAAGCCTTCTGTCTCTTCTGTCTCTTCTGTCTTCTCTTTCCCACTGCCTTGCCTGCTCGGCAGGGTACAATATATGTTCACTTCATCCTTACAATTCCATTATTTTGTCATTTGAGAGGAGGTAAGGTTTTTACCAGTAACTCCTCACCCAGATCATCAGTGCTAGAATAGTACTGATCTCTACATAGTGCTGGCTGTATTCCTCACTGATACCGTGTGTCACATGTTTGTCTGTCTGTGCCAGGACAGAGACAGTAAGATTGTAGGGTCAGAGCACAGCAAGAAAATTACTTCAAGCCCAAAAGTAGTGGGTGTTCTTCACATCTTGTCCCTATATATCTATCTTAATGCTTGGGTTTCAGGCTACCAAATCTTCTGCAGTTCCATGTGCACATTTGACTTTTGCTGCCTTACCAGCCACGACTCTAAGCCCTTGCAGTATTAAATCCTCTAGATGAACATTTTCACTCTTCCTGTCTGTATTAAAACCAGTGTCTCTGTTGAACCTGTCCCAAACTCCATACTCTCTTTCTCTTTCAGAATGGTGGTATTAGTGGGATGTTGTGGAACCCTTTTCGCTCTGTGCCCAAGGTAACCCCAGTAATTAATCTGGTAAGAGCAAATCTTGAGACACCGATGCTGGTGGCCCCTATCTAATGTTGTCCTGTGTGTGTGTCTGTTTGGTCCAGGACAGAGATGATAAGGATGTGACTTCAGGGCACCTAGACAAGAGCTCTGTGAAAACAGCCAGCGAGGAAAGCATCTTTCATTCCAAACAGGTCAGGCTAATGTACTCTGCAGTCTGTCAGTCACTCTGTCTAAATATGTGAATACTTGCATTCAGTATCGTTGTTGTTTTGCAGGTCTGCTACATTCAATTTTAGCTCAGTGTAACTGTAAAACTCCCAACCATATTGATATTCACATTTTCTCTCAATTACAGTCATTGTTATAAATGCTATAGCTGTTCAAAGTCTCTCTTCTCCAGTAATAGGAGTTCATCATTCATGTGTTCTTATCAGATAAGATAAGATCACTTTATTGGCCATACACAATTTCTTGTATTAAGTATTTATCTTTTCGCATACCCCAAATTATTCTCCATGAGACACATAGACAGGGAGAGAAGCTTGAGGTCAGAGCGCAGGGTCAGCCATTTATACGGCGCCCCTGGAGCAGTTGGGGTTAAGGGCCATGCTTAGGGGCCCAACGGTGTAGGATTCTTCTGTCAGACACCTCACTTTGTCTCTCTCAGTACCAGACATGCATGTGTCAGTACCTCAGTGTGAAAGCATTGACCTCCCTGTCCCTTCTTCTTTTGCTGACAGATTGGTGTTAACAGTGGGATACCAATTAATCCATTTTACTCTTGGACCAAGGTAACCCTTCTAACTGATACCACTTTCATTAAGTACTGCTCTCCAAACACCGCTGTTGCCCTCATTAACACTGTCTCATGTCTCCGTCTCTCCTAACTAGGAGAAAGACAGTGAGGACTTGGCCGCAGAGTCCTGTGAGAAGATAAATTCTGAGAAAACGGGGAGAGATGAGAGCCTCTTTCACTCCAAACAGGTTGGTGTTCACAGTTTCTCTCCTTCACAGACTATAATCTATTTTCTATTGCCAGATTTTAAGTTAAAGTTATTATTATTGCTATTGCTATTGTTATTATTATTATTATTATTATTATTATTATTATTATTATTATTCAAAGTCTCACTTCTCCATCAATAGCCACAGCTTGGAGTCGAAGTGCAACCTGATCACGAGTTTCTCTTTGTCTGTCTCTCTCAGCATCAGACATGCAAGTGCTAGTAACACAGGGTGTATGACACCCTTGTCCGTTCTCTCTCTGACAGATTGGTGTTAACAGTGAGATACTGTGGAATCCATTTTACTCTTGGTCCAAGGTAATCGCTTACTGACACCCTTCTTACTTATTACTGGCCACCAAATCGCTGCTGTTGTTCTCATTAACGCTGTCCACTGCCTTTCTCAGGACAATGAGGTTGTCACATTGGAGTCCCTTGGGAAAATGAGCTCTGGGAAAACGTCCAGTGCTGAGAAGCTCTCTCAGACCAAACAGGTTAGTGTTCTGCACAAGCTAGAACAGTTGCCGGGTGAGGCTCCTGTGGAGAGAGTATTTTAAGACCCTATGCGGGGCGGCAGACCAGGAAAGGAATAGGGAACGGAGTTGAGGGAAGACACACAAGGTTTATTGGTGCTCACAGTGATGCTAGGGAAGTCCGTGGAGAAGTGAAGGTAGGTATCCATTGCAACAAAACCAGGGAGGTCCACAGGAGAGTTGGGAAACCATCCATATATCCATTATCGGGAAATCCATCCAGAGACAAAACAAGAACAGACACACGAAGAACAAGAACCGGGAATACGGGGCTTTGTCCCAGGCCCCCGGCTCAGAAGGTAAGGATGACTATTCGGAAGTCCCCGTGAAGTCTGGTGGTAGGCGGACCATGAGACAACCGTTTTCCAAAGCTGAGCCCCGAAGGCTGGGGGGGGGGGAGAAGACATAAATAAGGGACTTGATTAGACGCACCAGGAAGTAATAATTAAAAGGACTATCTAGAGAGGATTATAGCGCCCTCTGGAGGAGGGGATGTCGACCGTGACACAAGCTCCCTTTCCGCATGTGTTTGTCTCCGTCATCTACGGCAGTGTTAGGTTTTCATTGCGGTTTCTTGGAATGACCTGCATTATCAATCGTTACAGCCATAGATCGCTCACATCACTTGCTCCCTATGCTCCACATTGCTGCTTCCTGTCATGACTGCCCTCTGCTTGCAGGCGGAGTTCGGTGCATGCTCCATATGACATCAGTCTCCTCATTCTTTCTGCTTCACGGTCTCTGCCGAAACCAGCGAGCTCAGCTCATCTGTATCAACTCTCGTACTGCCTTCTCTCTCTCTTTCCGTCAGGACGGCGATGTCGGGGAGATGGTGAGGAATCCCTTTCTCTCTGCGCTCAAGGTAACCCCAGGGTTTTAAAATCTGGTCACCGGGGCTGCTCTGCGGGTATCGCTGGCAGCAGCCGCCACTGACACTGTCCTGTACGCCTGCCTGTCTCTCGTCCCGTGACAGGAGATGGGCCGTGAAAGCGTGGCCCCAGAGCCCTGCGAGACGCTGAGATCTGAGGAGCCGGCCGGCAAGGGGAAACGGGTCAGTGTTCTTGCTGTCGTCTCTCCCTCAAGTTCGGGAAGTGACCCATGACCTCTCTGTCTTGGCTCGTCGCTCTCGAGCCCTTTCGGTCCTCCGGAGTGCGTGACAGAAACAGCACTCCCTGGTAGGACACTGACTCCGTCTGCTTGCTGGTCCACAGGGCTCCAGTGACTGGCTCAGTGGGTTCCAGAGAGAGGTGCCGTCTAACCCGTTTTATACATCCCCCAAGGTAAGTCAAGACACCCTCATTTCATCTTAAAATAAGTAGCTTTTCATGGTTGATATCTTCAGCATTACCTGATCAGTTCACCACTTTAATAGTAAGCAAGCAGAGTCATTATCTGTCTAAGGTCTGGTTTAATTTCAGTGTCCCACCTGATGCAAATTCTAGATTCAGCCCATGAAGTTAGTTCCCTATTGGGTAGCATGCGATCTCTCTGGCAAACAGACGTTTAGGGGCAGGCAGGGTTTGGCAGCGCTGGAGACTGTCTTTGGTGGGGTTGAAGTGTTGATTAAAAGCTGGCATGTAGGTTTCATCTCCCGGTCTTTTTACGCTTTCCTATGGATTTGATCAGCCCCAGGGGCAGGCTGATCTGGAGTCATGGAGGGATGTCCAGGCTCGCAAGAGTCTCTCTGACTCGGCTCTGATCGCTCCGGAACCAGCAGGGCCCTCTCTGGTCCTACCTCGCGTCCTCCCTGCACCAGTCCAGGTCAGTACTGCACCGGTCAGGCGCAGTGCCAGTCCAGGTCAGTACAGCGCCAGGCAGGGGCAGTGTCAGTCCAGGTCAGTACAGTATCAATGCAGTG